CTTTTTTTAAATAAATAAGCCAAAAATTCTTTTTGAATGCCTCTGTCATCTTTTGCAAAGAAAGATAATTTAAAAAGTACAAAACCTAAAATGATTAAGAACAAATTGTTTAGGTCTAACAGGTTATGAAGGTGGCAGTGAGACATTTCAAAGCTGGAATATGTACAAAGTTTGAGTTTTGTTTAGGTTCCTTTTTGGTTCAGTAAATTAGGAAAGGGATGCATTTGGCAGGGTGGGAATGAAGCAGAAATGAAACAATTCTAATTAAAATAATTATTTTCCCAGTTCATCTATGTGTGTGTGCGTGTGTGTGTGTACGTGTGTGTGTATGTATGTCCCCTTACCCCATTTCATTCTTGGCCCATGCTTGCTTTTACTTTTTTACCACTGTTATTTACTTATTCCTATAGCATGAGTGAACGTCATTTCATAACAGTCAAGGCCGTGACGTTCGGATGCCTTCCCTCCCCTGGTAATTTTAAGTGCAGTGAACCCTTTTTCCTTTGTCATTTCCATGGGTTACCAAGTATGTCTAAAATTCAAACACTTTCACTGGACCATGCATGTTTTTAATCTGAAAGATGAGTAGTACTCAGAGGGTCTGTGTATTTTTTAAGTGACTACAGTTTTTTTTTGCTTGTCTGAAAACTTACTTTTCCCTTTTATAATTTTACGTTATTTTATAGTAAATGCTTCTAAGTATAGCTTCTTTTATTAGACATGCAAAGAGAATAATCACACAACTAAGTTTTCAACAAATATTTATGTACATGCCAATGTATGCATGAGACATCTTTCAATTAAAAATGTTTAAACTGATTTTTAAAAAAGTACCACTATACCAATGAAGATAAACTGATTTTTTAACTTATATTTTATAGATCTAGTTTTACAGTTTTGGAAAAGAGCAGTTTTTAAAATTAATACATAAGCTGTTTAAAATGGTCTTCTCTTTAGAGTAAGTCTCACATTAATGGTCATTTGCTACTTGGATTTTCTTGTCCAATTAATAGTGATATTTGGCATTGTATTTCGTCTTTCCTTCCATTCATTAAACAGATCTTACTGTGCATGTAGGGAGTATAGAATTCTACATTTAATCTTATGAGATCATGCTGTTTACAAAATTTTATGATGAAATTAATGCTTTCTTCAGTAAGCAATCTTACATTGCAGGCAGATTCCTGTCAAGTTTTGTCTTTCAAAATGGTCATTAGCAAGTTATCAAAAGTAAGAATAGGGCAATAAAGTAACAGAATTCCTTTTAAACCCATAGTAAGCTCTTCTGGCATGAATTTATAGCCCTCTTCTACCCTTCCAGCCAAAGGTCATTCCAAATGCTATATGTGGAATTTGTCTGAAGGGTAAGGAGTCCAACAAGAAAGGAAAGGCTGAATCACTTATACACTGCTCCCAATGTGAGAATAGTGGTAAGTATTGAAATGTCTTTTTAAAATTTTAACCACTGTATTTGTTGGTTCAAAAACTAGAATTTATAGTTTCAGGTAGATTTCAACCAGAGTCATCAAATAAATACACAGGGTAGATTGTGAGGCAGACACAGTCCATGTGTTTTCTTCTACATTGTATTTTCATTTCTCTTTGGTGATTTGACATTATAGCTATTCTCTGAAAGTCCTAAAGCAAACTAGCATTTTATGTGCCATATTAAGTTAAAAATTCTTATGTGAGATACTACTAATACTGGTTTTGATTTAGGCCATCCTTCTTGCCTGGATATGACAGTGGAGCTTGTTTCTATGATTAAGACCTACCCATGGCAGTGTATGGAATGTAAAACATGCATTATATGTGGACAACCCCACCATGAAGAAGAAATGATGTTCTGTGATGTGTGTGACAGAGGTTATCATACTTTTTGTGTGGGCCTTGGTGTTATTCCATCAGGTAAAGATTAAAAAAAGAACAAACTATCTTTGGGTGATAAGACTCTCCCAGCACTGCACTCCAAAAGGCTGCATAAACGTTATCATGACATGCAGAGCTTGTGGACTCCTATGTGCAAATATGACCAAAGCTATGATTATATGGGTCATGTCCACCAGCTTTTCATTCCCAGACAATTCCAACTAAAGGATAAATGAGAGGCCAGAATGCCCAGACTAAGTTTTGGAAGTACAGTTCTATATAATGAGCTGGTGTTTTTCTACTGAAATACTTAAGTAACAGCATCATCTTGTTTCAAAGCCTTTATTTTTATGTTATCTATTTAGAAACTTAACAAAATGACTACGTCTTTATACATTTCTATAGAAATCGATTACAGATTTCTGTAAATTGAGGCAGCATGACAATTCCAGGTAACTTTAGAACAGAGTTGAATAAATCACAGTAATTGGACTAAAACATTACACAGATAATTGTGTAATTTTAGAACTTACTTGCATAGTTAACACTGTATAATACTCTTATAAAATATATGCCTACAACGAAGTTTCCTGGGAATCATTAAGCAAGCAACATAATTATTTTTCTGTAGTAATTCAGATCAAGTATGTAGTACAATTTATCATTGTGCTGTTAGAAACTTAAAAGTTTTAAAGTGCTGTCAGCAGAGTACACCAGCACTTGAAAGAATGCTGTTAAGACACACAGCTGCCAGTGAGCAGGAGAGAAAAAGGCTTAAAAAAGCCAAATTCCAGAATGGGTTTTGAACTTTTGAAGTATGTATTGAACTTTAGAAGTATGATAGTGTTTGAATTTCAGGAAATACTGTACTTTTTTAAAGGTCTGTATCACTGTATGGCATTGCATCTCTCCCATCCCCCTTGACTTGCAATGAATTTTGCATGGCATTGATTACAAGTTTATATTTTTCTCCTTAAATTCAGGAACTCATAGTGCCCTTCTCACCACAAAATCCACAGAGGAATATCATTAGTGATAGCTAAGGAAGAAGAGTTTAGATGGGCTTAAAATTCAGTCCTGTAAAGATAATTTTTCATTCCATATTAACAATTTTTTTCCTAGGTCGCTGGATTTGTGACTGTTGTCAGCGGGCCCCCCCAACACCCAGGAAAGTGGGCAGAAGGGGGAAAAACAGCAAAGAGGGATAAAATAGTTTTTGACTCTAATACTGTGTATGCATTTAAGTGGAATATTTGGTGCCAATTTATTTACAACATTTTCATTTTTATGCCAATAAAAGATTTTTTTTTTGCAAATTATGAGCTTAAAATCTGCAGTTGATTTATTTCTGTTAAAAGCTACTCTTACCCTCCAAACTAATTCCAGGTAGAGAAATCATCTTCCCAAGTATTTTATAGTAACCCTGGCTCACTCCAAAAATTCAGTGGAAATGTTTAGCAACTTAAGATACTTAACTATTTCTCCATAGCCCCAAAAGTTAATTTTCATGAAACTTCCTAATCTACATTGTTTCTGGCCTACCATAGGTAGCATTAACAAAGTTATTTAATAACTAAAGAATTTTCATAGGTATGACAAATGGCCTAATAAGATTTGGTGCAGCTGGATTTAGAGTTGTCATTATTGGACTGGTACAGGAACACAGTTTGTAAATACCTGCCTGCCAGGAAATCACTTTTGTATAGAAAAGTACCATCCCTACTTGGGGTACAGGCACGAGGCTTTAGTCCAGGCTCAGGGAAGTGTACATAAATCATTTCCAACTTGATTTTAGTAACTCTTGAAAACGTACACCTTGAACTTCGCTTAGAATCTCCAGAGTAAAATTACAAAGTATCAACCTTTGATCTGTGTCACAGCATGAAAGGTTGCTCTACTTTTTTTATATATATATAAACCTAAGTTACTGCAATCATTTTTAGTCAACCTGCCTAATGAAAATGGAGTCTAAACACTTTATTGTGCACAGTCCTTTTACAGGAATTTTGATATTTAAAAGAAAATACTGTGCTTGCTGCTTTTCCTATTTTTGGGGGTAACTGAGGTAACAAAACTGTGTATGGCTTTATTTTTCCATCCCTTGACTAGAAAAAGGTAACTAGAACTTCAACCAAGTACAAGTACCAAGGTTCACAGCAAACTGCAATCAGCTTCACAGACGGAGGGTTTTATACCCCAGAGCGTGGTAAATGACTCAAAAGAGAATTTCAAGTACCAGTTTCAAAATGCTAATTAATATCGTCCAGAGAACAGATTCCTCCTCTTGCGAGGCGTCTTCCGGGGCACGAGCGTGCTTCTGGCCGGCATCTGCACCGTCGGCGGGGTAGGCGGCCTCGCCGAACGGGTGCTGCTCGACTGTGCCGTCGTAGTACACTTTCATCTCGAACTCGCTCTCCAGGTGGGATGGGTGTCCGTAGACGCCGATGCCCACTGGGCGCCGGAAGTGCGCGGGGATGGACACAGCGTCCGGGCCGCAGGTGGCCGACTGCAGCTCGTAGTCGTCGAAGCTGGGGTGCAGGCTGCTGGCCGAGACATACAGGTCCGCATCGCCCTTGAGGCTGCGCATCCTGAGGACTATCTTGCCCTCGTGGTTCAGCCGCAAGTAGCTGTAATTCCCGGCGCCTATCTGGCCTTGGACGACGTGCAGGAGCACCCACTCCTCGGGGACCTCCTCCTCGTCCGCGCAGCTCCCCGGGGACAGGATCTGCGAGGTCAGGAGCAGCAGCAGGGCCGTCGTCCAGGGCGCGGCCCTCCCGCGGGGAGCGGCCATGGCTGGCGGCTCAGCTCCGAGGTCTACAAGTGGGTCAGTGCTGCTGGGGACACGGGAGGCGCTCAGTACCGGAGCCCGTCCCCGTCGTCCGCCCGCGGGGCCACGGCGCGTCCAGGCGCCGGGTCTGTCGCTGGGACTGTCCCTTCCCACCCGCGTGAGGCCCCGGGGAGGAGGGGGTGGGCTAACCCCTCCCCCTAGCGCGGCGCCCACCAGGGGCAGGGGCAGGGCCGCTATGGCACTCTCGGACTCACCACCGCTCCCCACAAGGGGCCGAACCTCACGCATCCGGACCCGAGGCCGGAGCCTCGCCAGGGAGGCGGAAGTGACGCTAGGCCCGGAAGTGAGCAGGCCGGAAGCGAGGACTCGCCTGCTGCCGCGAGATAGTGAAAGGGGCGTGGGCGCTGGGGGCTGCCGGCTAGTAACCATAGCGGCGCGCGTGAGTCGGCGGGCTAGTAACCATAGCGGCGGGCGTGGGGCGGAGCGTCGCTCGCTAGTTCCCTGCGTGCCCTCTTGGGAGCTGGGTGCAGTGAGTCCTCCCCAGCGGGCTGCTCTCGGCGCGGAACCCGAGCTGCTGCTCTGGGACGTGTGCTTAGGGCGCGGGGCTGGAGCGCGGGGGCTGCGCGGGTGCTCGCGGCTCCGCTGAGGTCTCTATGAAAGGGGGCGATTTGAGGGTCCCGCCGTGACCGCTCCCAGCGGCGGAGACGCGCGCTCTGGACCAGAGCCGTTGCCCGCTGTCTGGTCACCCCAAGCCTCCTCCTGACGCCGTGCTGGTGCGAGGGTCTCCAGGGGAATTCGGGGCACAAATCGGGCCCGAGCGTCCAGGCTGTCGTGGCACGAAGGCGCAGGATCGGCGCTTTGAGAACTGAGCGCCTGTGGAGTTCGGAGGAAAAGGGCGCAGGTGGTTATTTTAATTAAAGCAGCTATGTATAAAGCGAACTCAGACCTCTTTAAAAGATTCAGTAGTTTAGGAACGAACCAGGGCTGTGGAAATGCCCGTCATCCCGCACCACCCATCGGTTCTGTGCTCCGAGGGTGGGAGCGTGGACTCTGAGGGCTCCCGAATTATGCCCCACTGGCCTTTCACCCTGCGTGGTAACTACCAGGCTAGGTTTTCCTAACTCGAGCCAAACAGCAAGTTTCTGGCTTGCTTAGTCACTAAAAGAAAAAAATTTCGATCTTTTCTAATCAGAAGGGAGTAATTTTCTCTTTCTAAAAATCCTGGGCAGAAGGAAATGCCCAGGATTTTATCAGTGGTACTCCTTGAGTAGTAGAGAGTTCATCTTTTTATGTATTTCTAAATTTTCTACAATTTACACACACTGTACCAGTAAAGGGGTATTAAGTCTACAGCTTCCAGTTTATCTGGAATTACTGCGTTGTGTTTACTGACTTAACTTTAAGACAATGGTTTCTTTAACAGTCACTTGCCACTGCTTTTTCCTGAAGTGCTTACCTAGTCTTAGGTGCACTAGAATCTCACTAAAATGATAAATTTAGTTTATTTTCCCTGACTTGTTCTGTGCACATGCGTACACGGATATCGCTGGGGATATCCTATAACATTGATTATCCCCTAGGGTTGGCACAGCAGGGAGAGGAGTTGGGGATAGTCCAATTCCGTGTGTTGGCTGCTAATGCTTATTCTTTGCAATAATTTACTGTAGGGCTGCAGGATGAGTAAGCCTGTGGTCAGTTTTCCACATTATTACAGGTTATTGCAGTTGAACTGTTTGTCACTGCCTAAGGTGAGTCTTGAGCTTTTACCCTCCTGAGTTTGTTTCTGTGTTCCATCAGTCACTCAGCAACATCCTACAGTGTCACTGAAGCATCCTGCTTCAAGGTACCCACATCAGTCAAGGTAGGCTGACAGAAGGGACCTCAGCTTCATGGAATAAATGTTTCTCTCTTGCTTACACAGCAGTCCAGCCTGGTGTCCTGGTCACCCTTTAGTGGGAGCAGCACAGGCCGCCAGGTGCCACCACCGTGGCCCCTCTTCTTAGCCTTTGGAGCCCTCCACCTCCAGCATGAAGGGCTGTGCACGGGCTATGACAGGACCAAGCCTGTGCATGCGTGGTGTGTTTTCCAGAACAGAAATTTTGGTGCACGGCTACTCTCGACTCCAGAGAGGCTGGAAATGTGGTCCTGCCATGTTCTTAGTGGCTCCAGGGAGGAAGCAGAAAGAGCTTGCGAAAACTGCCAGACCACAGAAATAGAAAAATGAATATTTTAACAGAAAAATAGCTTTCTATGGAAATGATATTAGGGGCCATCTGACCTCTGTTCAGTGAGAGGATAGGTTGGGGTTCATTTAGCTGCCCTGGATTCATGTCCTGGACACAGATATGTATGTGTATGTGTGTGTGTGTGTCAGTGTGTCCCTGACTATGATTCTGCCTGCACCAGACACTCCTTCATCCCCGTCTGCACCACCCTGCCATGGAGCAGGAGAGGCAGGAGAGGTAGGCATTGAAGCCGAGTACACTGAGGCAGAGGTAGGCATTGAAGCCGAGAACACTGAGGAACGAGGAGAGGTAGGCATTGAAACCGAGAACACAGGAATGGGCAGAGGTAGACATTGAAGCTGAGAACACTGAGGCAGAAGTAGGCATTGAAATGGAGAACACTGAGGAGCGGAGGTGTTGGGCAGCTGGAGAGGTGGGACGTCAGCTCGTGCACACTGGGGCCAGACTGACCCAGAGGTTCTGAGCGCAGGCTAGTGCTTCCTCCTGAAGGTGGCTTATGTGTCCTGACGAGGCTTCTTCCCTCTTTGGCTTCACACCATTGTTTTCTGTGAACTCTTCACACTAGTGAGTCATGGTGTTATTTCTTTATTATGCACACATCAGGAAATGCAAGCACATTCATATTCTGTCTTTATTTTGGAAACAATTCCAGCGATGTCAGACGGGTGTCAGGAGATCGTTTTTTGTTGTTTCTGCTTTTGTTTGTTTGTTTGTTTTTGAGACAGGGTCTCACTCTGTTGCCCAGGCTGGAGTGCAGTGGCACAATCTTGGCTCACCACAACCTCTGCCTCCTGGGTTCAAATGATTCTCCCGCCTCAGCCTTCCAGGTAGCTGGGACTACAGACACGCGCCACCATGCCTGGCTAATTTTTGTATTTTTAGTAGAGACGGGGCTTCACTACGTTGGCCAGGCTGGTCTTGAACTCCTGACCTTGTGATCCACCCGCTTCAGCCTCCCAAAGTGCTGGGAATATAGGCATAAGCCACTGTGCCCGGTGTCTGCTTTTGTTTTTAAGACATGAAGGGGTCCTGTGCTTCAGGCATGGAAGAGGTCTTCAGGTCTTCAGATTGCCTTTCTCCTATGACCCTGGGCTCTCTGACCCCACACCTTTCACCAAACCCGTTTAGATCAGACAGCTTTTTATATGTGTGCATGTTTGGGTGCATGCGTGGGATTCTGTGTGTGCATATGTGTATACAGGTGTGAGATTTTGTGTGTGTGTATGCATGTGTATATGTGATCTCTTGATCTCTTGCTTCACAGCTGCCCATACCTTAACTTCTTCCTTGTAAGCTTCACTGCACCATTCTTCCCAAGATCTCCTAGCACCATCTGAACCGTTGGGTCACCCTAGACTCTTGCTGTCGATTGCTTGTTCTAGTCTTACTTCAGGGTTCAGTCCCGATAGGACACACACAGATCAGTGTGTAGACGTATGCTGGGTATTGTCATTTCATTTGTACAGTTTTCATTTTGTAGGCAGTTTTATTCGTTTGTTAATACTGCAATGACAAACTAATGCAGATTTGGTGGTTTAAAACAGCACAAATGGATTATCTTACAGTTCTGGAGGTCACAAATCCAAAATGGGTTTCAAACTGTGCTAAAATCAGGGTGGCATTGGGGCTGGCTCCTTCCAGAGTCTTCGGGTGAAAACTCTTCTCCGTGCCTTTTCCAGCTTCTAGAGGCCACCACAGGCCTCAGCTCCTGGCTCCTTTTTCTGTCTTAAGAATGGTAACCACAGCAGGTTGAGTCCTTCTCATGGTGCATCATCATCCCAGCTTTTCTCTCTCTAGCTTAGTTAAAGAAAGTATTTAAATTGAACATACCCAGATAATCCAGGATAATCTCTCTTCTGAAGTCCATCTGATTAGTAACCTTGAGTCCCTTGGCTGTGTAACCTAATGTTTGCAGAGGTTCTAGGGATGAGCCTGTGGACATCTTAGGGAGAGTGTTACTCTGCCCCCAGTGTGCCCTGGGGTATTTAGACTCCTCACCATTCAGCTAATAGGTACTATTTTATGTAATTGGTGCAAAAGGACAATGCTAGGCGCTCTGTAATCATTTAGAAATGAGAGAAACAAGATGACTTTTTGAGTGTTATCCTCTAAAATGGACACACTGGATTAGAGAAGAGATGTCTGTTTCTTCCACAGTTACTCGAAAGAAATTTTGGTGCAATGCCTAGAGGAAGTTACAACTGATGTTTCAGCATTTGACATAATGTATCCAAAGCAGTATCTATGCTTCTCCCCTGCGGGAACCTGTTCTCTCCCAGCTCAGAAAGTGAGGTATCTTGTCGTTCAGGCCAGAAAGCTAGGAGCCTCTCCTGATTCCTCAAATTCCTCTTCAGCAACCAGCCCGTACTGGCTTCCATCAGTCCTAGCTCAGAAATAACGTGTGGTGTCCATTTGCTTAAACCCTGCTCTTAGGCTCCAGCACCAATGATCTTTTGAAAAATAGAAGTTTTAAATTTGTAAATATTTCGTTAAAGTTTTTGTTCATCCTTCTTGATATTTTTATATATCTAAGCATTACTATTTTTGTTGTCTCAGCATCCACCTCCTCTTGGCAAAAAAATCCTCTAGTCCCTGGATTTCCTCTGGACTACCACCCTTCTCCCTCTGCTGACCAGGACTCAATAGAGAGGTCTGTGTCCTGGCCGGGCGCGGTGGCTCAAGCCTGTAATCCCAGCACTTTGGGAGGCCGAGGCGGGCGGATCACAAGGTCAGGAGATCGAGACCACAGTGAAACCCCGTCTCTACTAAAAATACAAAAAATTAGCCGGGCGCGGTGGTGGGCGCCTGTAGTCCCAGCTACTCAGGAGGCTGAGGCAGGAGAATGGCGGGAACCCGGGAGGCGGAGCTTGCAGTGAGCCGAGATCGCGCCACTGCACTCCAGCCTGGGCAACAGCGTGAGACTCCGTCTCAAAAAAAAAAAAAAAAAAAAAAAAAAAAAAAAAAAGAGAGGTCTGTGTCCCAGGCCTGACTTCTTGGCATCATTTCATCCTTCTGATTACATGATTAATTCAAACATGGAAAGTGTCTCAGACAGGCCCAAACTCATGAGAAATGTTCAAGGATCAATGGAAAGAGATGCTTTCTTCCCCAGCACTCTGCAATGTGAGAGGCCGCGCTCGGGCGCTGTTGGCCGTCTTTTTGCCACCGCATAGGAACAGACAATGAGCAGCAACTAGACAGGTGGAGCTGAGGGTTGGGGAGACAAGGGGGCTGTCCTGACGGTGTTGATGAAGCTGCTGTAACCTTTTAATTACACATTAAACTCTTTCTTTCCATCAGATTAGGTCGAGCTTGCTTTCTGAGACACGAAGTAGACATTTTTCAATGTCATTTTTAAAAACATGTGCATTGTATTCCACTCAACGTAAGAACCGTTGCTACATTTCATATTATAATCAATGTTACGGTGGACAGCCTTGAAGAAATAAATTTTGGAAAAGGTAGAATGATTTACTTGTTATAAATTTATAAAAGTAGAATTTTTGATTGCCAGATAAGTTTATGTCAATTCTCTTACCAGCAGTGTATGTGGAAATGTTTCTGTGTGTGTGCGTTCATGATTTATTTATTTGTTTATTTTTTTGGGACGGAGTTTCGCTCTTGTCGCCCAGGCTGGAGTGCAATGGCGCAATTT